GTCGCAAATTTGCTCCAAACTGTTTGCATATAGTTTTTCCGATATTCACGAAACGCTGTATACACATTGCTATTATGATTGCACACATATTTCAAATTGCTTTTCATTAGCCCCGCCCCCCAGAAAGCTGGCAATTTTGAGAGCTGGAGTGAGGCAAAATGAGGCATGGCTAAAATGCATGATCTGTTTGGTATTTTGAAAAATAAAACTTATAAATATACCTTATATAGGTATGGCCCTACAAGATATTATTCAAATATAGCATGATAGGTCCCCTTTAACGGAAAAAAGGTTGCATTCTTGATTTCTGTAATTTGTCACCCTGAGGCAGTAACTAATTGTGAAATATAAAAACACAAAGTTATTATATTGCCATCTTTTCTTTGCTATTTATTTAATTCTGAAGCATTACTTTTTTTACCTGTAGCTTTCTGCACTCGCTCATCTCATTGTCACCGTCAACTCTATGTGGGTTCTGCAGAGTCTGTTCCTCAAGAATCAGCTTGCAGGAGCTAGAGTACAAAAAAAAAGATTTCCTAATGAGAAATCCTGGAGAATATCCAACTTTAATAATACATTGAATAGCTTTATAGCATTGACCCTTTAGGTAACTCTTCTCTGAAGTAATATTCTGTTTAACACTTGTGAAAGAAGGTAAAGTTTACATGAATACTGAGCACTTATTGTTAATACTTATTGTACCTGCTGATATATGCAGAAGAAACGTCTAGTTTCTCAGCCAGCGTCTTGGCATCCTCTACCAGTGTCTGTAGTGAGATGGTTGTAATGTAATGATGTTCCTGTTCTTGGCTGTGGTCCTCGCTGTGGTCAGGTACCATGAGGAGCATGAAATCCAACATCCAGCGGGCCTGAGCCATGTGAATAGAATGAACCTGTTGGGAGGGGAAACACTCAAACTCAAGAGAAGCACCTTGTATCATACAGCAAACAAACTCATTCATCAAATACCTCTTAATGTAGTCTATCTAGTACTTTTGGTCATCTAAATGAGTAGCTGAGAAACTACATTTTAAGCTTTTGTTGATTTGGATATTTGCGTGTTTAATATGAGAGTATCATATTCATGGAGCTGATGGAAATGCATGTATAGTGTTGACAAAATGTGGTTTATACTGACCTCTTCACTGATTCTGTGGTTCTCAGCATCAGCGAAGTTGGACACGCTGATTATGAACTCCTTTACTTTGTCTGAAACATTGTCTGTCTCTGTGCTGTTTGAAACAAACAAACATAGGACACGGACACAGACACAGACACAGACACAGACACAGACACACACACACACACACACACACACACACACACACACACACACACACACACACACACACACACACACACACACACACACACACACACACACACAAGAAAAGCAAATATCAGAACTCCATATCCAAAATGTTTGAATTTCTTTCTATCTGCTCTTTGAAATTCCAATCCATTGTATCCCAAGCAACAAAAGTTATGCGTTAAGATTGTCTGAGGAACTCATGATATTGTTAGGGTGTTGTCAGACCAGTATATGAGCAAATAAGATTTGCACACATTTGTTGCTGTTTTGTTTAAAGACTTTTGATTCAAAAATGTTTACAGAATACCAAGTTTCCTGTGCTAAAGAACAAACTATAGTTTTATGATAGTCATTACATTGCATTCAGCTTAACAAACATTGCATTTAGCTTAACAAACCTTTCTATAAAATGGTAAAAAAAAATGCATCTGCCTCTAATGAAATCCATAGTTTGGACCAAACTTACTATATGTCCGGCTCGTTTTTGTCCTTTTCGTTCTCTGTCTGTATACTGAGGACGTTTTGAAATATTTTTTTTGTCAAACTCTGCCAACTTCGCAGTGAACTTTCCAGCTTCTGCCAATCAGAGGCAGACATCATTTCTGACCGGCCAATCAGGACACCGAGTTTGGAAATCCGGGACTCCATAAACCCGAGCAGTGACATCATCTGTCCGTGGATCCCTGAAACAGTGTTGCTGTAATCAGTTTCCAAACATTGAGTCCATTTCTAAAAGGGCTATACCACAATAAGACTCATTAATACATTACAAAAAAAGAGACGGATGGAATAAAGTATCCGTGACTATTGCTGTTCAGAGCACACATTGTGACACTTCCCAGGGTCCTGAATATGCAGCTGTCAGCAGTACAGATATTTTAAATGTAGCCAAGCAAAAACTAAAGCAGTCTATACTTACTTGTCTGTTAGACTAAAAAAATCCAGTTTCTATCTCAATTAATATTTTCAAGATATGTGTCTAACTCTCAGCTCTCACCACTCTCTCCACTGACTCGACTTCCCAGCTGTTTGAGGAGCTCTGACAGGACCCTGTCAAGCTCTCTTAGGGCCTGTTGGCCTTCACTGGGTTCTCCATCAGGAGAAAGGTGTCTTCTGAGCAGCTCAAGGCTCATAGTCAGCCATCTTTCCTGCACACTGCCAAGCTCTCCCAGTGTCTGCTGGCAGCAGAGCAACTTCTCACCTTGGTAGCAGTCACACTGGAGAGACAACAGCTGCAGAGAAACAGAAAACACAGGAGTATTTTACGACAACAAAATAATACATATATATTACATTGTAATACTGTATGATCATAATTTCAACACAGCCAAACTGGCAACCAACTGTTTACCCTTTACATAACATACACTACCTTTTCCTGGTCTAAAGACTATTTGAATACCAAGCCAATTTTTCAGACACATCAGTTAAAATCAATGAACATGATAAAAAATGTCAGACAGAGGAAGTAAGTGTGAATTTACAATTGCCCACTGCTTCACATCAGCATGAATCTTTTCCAATGAAGCTTTTTCATATTGCAGGTCAGGGAACCTTGAAAGAGAAAAAAATAGTAAATTAGAATGCATATCAATCTCCTCCTCCAATAATTGCTGTCAGTGGCTTTGCTGATAGAACAACAATAATAATAAATGTTTTCCAGAAAATCCTTATTTCTTAACAGGTGGGGTATGATCTCTGCTTGTCCTCACTTGTTCTTTGTGGCGCAGAAGTCCAGACACTTAGCAATGCCTTGCTGGATGGCACTGATCTGTTCACACTGAGCATGCTCAGTTTTCTTCAGCTGGGACATAAACACAGTGAGTTGCTCTTTCCAGTAGTCACTGAGCTTCATGATGGCATTCATGTCCTCTGTGTCCTACAGAGGGATGGTCACCAATATAATCAGAGTGTAATTGAAACACCAGGGATATTTCTGAAGAGTCATCAGGGCCACTAGGTGTTTTTGCCATGAGCCATATACCATGTGTTAAGAAATAGGAAGTGCATTGTTACCTTCAAAGCAATGTTGAGGCTGCAGTGCTCTGCCGTCTTAAACCAGCTCTGCTCCATGATATGCAGCCGACTGATCAGCTGCAGCTTCTTCACACTGATCACCTGCAGAGCACAGAACAAATGAATCCTGACAATCCATACATTGTAGTGAGCAGCATATGTTATATATATGTGAATATAAAATGAGAGTCCAATAATGATTATATTGCTTGTGATTCTGCAAACAAAGTCAGTTCACCTATTTTCTAATCAGCATAAAAGTACATGAGTCCAATTAAAATAAAAACTAGATCATGGCTCACACACCTTGAGGGCCAGGCAGAATGTGATCTGGCTCCAGCAGTCCCTCTCCTCCGTCATCTGGAGCAGCTGAGCCTCCTGGCGACCCCTCTGCAGGTCGTACAGCTCATGGTAACCCTGGACCACACTGAGAAGGGCACATGGAACATTTAAAGCGTCTGGTATCTAAGACATGTATGAGTATTGAATAATGCTTCTGTTGTATTTCTATTTACTGTAGTGTTTAGCATTTTTTTTAACAACGCACAAATGACTGTTGCGTGAATATAATCACATATCTTATTAGAAAAATAAGCAGAATTTTGGAATGCATCAACGTGAGGAAAATGAACACTAGTTCAGTGGGACTAACTCTGAGTTGATATTAGTCTGCTCAAGCGCTCCAGCCAGCTGTTGGTGAGCACACTCTGCCTTCTGGGAAACGGAGTCATCATGGTCTCTGATTCTAGACAGTTCGCTGTGAAGAAATTGCACATCCATAAAACATATCTTATTTTTACAAATAGTTTTGAGTGCTATTATTTTCATTTGATTATTTATTTTGTAAAATAATCACTATGTTCCTAGCACAGAGTTATTTAAATCATCATGGCCCTGCAGGCCTACGTACGCGTTGAGCTGCTCGATGGATCTCTTGATGCGGTGGATTTCTTCAGTGAGCCGGCGGTCCAGAGCCCGCTGTGCCACGGCTTCAGTGTGCAGAGCCTTCAGACGACTGGGGATTCGCTGGAGCAGCATCTGGTAGCGCTGTCTGGACACAAAAACCAAAGAGCTGCATGGATAAAGGCTTCCTAGGGTCATAGAAAATATTTTCTGAAAATGTGACATTTCTCAAAATACGTTTTGAGTTGTGATAACATGGGGATAATACATTTGCAGATTTGTGTTTCATCTTTTGATTCCTTATTTATATCCATATTTCTATAGTATGATTTTAAGGCTCATATAGTTACCATTTATTCATCTTTATTAATAGGATGCTTACCTGAGTTTTGCTAGCAGCTGTCCTCTCTCAGCACAGCCCACGCTGACCTGCCTTATCAGTTCATGGAAAACAATGTTGTAGATGTTCTGCTCAACCTGCACCAGCTCCAGCAAACCCTCCATCTGCAGACATGTCATTGCACTGTTTCCAATATGTATTCCAGTACATTCATTTTCCATATAAACGTTTAACAAAATGAAAACACAACAACATAAATGCACAGAACTAGTGTCAGCAGCCTGTGTACTCTCTGCTTGTCTGTCTGCCTACCTGTGAGAGCTCTGTCAGCTCCTCACTCTGCTGATCCACTCCTGCCTTCTCCAGCATGTCATCCATCATCCGCGTCAGCTGGACCACTTCCAGTCTGCCGCTGGGCCTCCTGGATACACCCAACACACACACACATATCTTGTTTTTTGCCAGCACTATTCCTACTTAAAGGTAAGCAGTACTATAACTTACCTACTATTAAGCTGTACCATAACTTTCTCCTCAAATTGCATGGTGATTACTACTTCACTAAAGCTAATCTGTAAAGGGAACTCACAGCGAAGGGAAGACCCGCAGCTTCTGCTCATCATCCTGCAGCTGTACTGTGAACGCACTGAGGAAGAGAAGTAAAGATGAGATGAAAGAAAATATTAATTAATATAATAACAAGAGGATTTTACAATGAACATGAATGAAGTGGATGGACATCGTAAAGGAGACTCACTCCTCAAAGAACTCCAGGCTCCGAAGCCCTTTGTTTTTCACAATGTGATATTCTTCTGGGATCACACTTTCTGAGACACTGTAATTCTGAAAGACACAGAGTGACCATTATTATAACCTAAAACTGTATACTGAGTACATATTCCACAAGTGTATAAATGAATTGTAAAAATTGTGAATTTAAAATCAGTACTATTATTGTAAATCAGAGAATTTGAGATATTCTGCTACATAATATGGAAAATGTTTAAAGTTCTCTCTAAACTTTAAAACTAAAATCTAAACTACTGTTACACTTATCTCACAGTATGGACATGCTGTAATTTGAATCTGCATGGTATCGGAATGGAGTTGTTATAGCTCAATATTTAATACAGCGTATTTCTGATATTTATTAAAGATCACATGGTATTCCATATGATGTGTGTTACTGAGTTGGGTCACACACAGTTAGAGAGGCAATGGTCATTCTGAATTATCAACAGATGTATTTGTTTTAAGTGGGCTGACATCAGGTTATAAAAACAGTTAACCTTTGTTAGTTAACTAATCCTATGGATGTCATGAGACAATGACGTTTAAACATATACAAGTATAGCTTTCAGAGAGATAAACATGTGACATTTGTGTGGTAGGCTGCATGATAAAATGTGTGTGCGTTAAACATGCTTAGGGAGAATGTATGTGTGCTCATTACAGTGGCTATATAGTATGCTGTGTGATTGTTGCTACTATTGGGGGGCATTTCCGAGATTGGCTGCTGTGGCAGCAGGTGATGTACTTCCCATTATTGTTGGTTTTTTGCAACAACTAAATAATAATTACTGATCAGCTATATCTGTGTTTGATTGATTCTTCTCTGTTTCATTCTTTCCTGTTGTGTTGTGCTGGATCGCCGCAACAGAGTAACAATTTGGGCTTTTTTTGTCTATTTATCACTTCTGGTTGATTTTGTTATGTTGTATAGCACTGCTTGTAATTGTGTAAAACTATATTAATCTATATATGTTATACTAGGGATGATAAATTGAAAAGGGAAATTAAGTCACATTCTCAGGTCCTTCTTTTTGTTTTTCAAAAAGTGTAAAAATGACAGAAAGTAGAAATACTGTAGGTCAGCTGAGGTAACTGACCTGTGTGTCTCCATTGGCACTCCTCTCTGTCAGGGGTGGCAGGGGTGTTGTCTTCCTATGGGCTACCATAGCATCACACAGGAAGGAAATATCCCTGTATGAATACAATAAAAAATCAAAATTAGCAACAGGCCAAATGTGAGACTTTTTGAGAAACCTACTATTGCCACGATTCTATATAGATCACTTATTTACCTCATTTAAAATAACTAACTTCAGACATAACATAACATTAACTTGACTTTGCTATGTCCAGTTATGTAAAGCCAAGCTACGTTTGTATTATCACTGTCCTGAGTTAGTCTCGAGACTAAATATACATAAATATGTTGCTTTCATTAATACCTAAACAGTTAACATTTAACATGCTTTTACTAGATGACAAAACACCACAGACATTTATTTTAAATTAGATATTTGGGGGGACTTTATAGTTGCAACAACCAACATAATGTTTGTGGTTTGTAAGTGTGGTTAGTTAATATGTGTGGTTTCGTGTAGCTGACCTGCCGGCTCCAGTGAGTGATGTTGGCTGTTCCAGAAAGAATTTGTATTTCTTGCGTCCCAGCGGGTGATGCCAGACTGCATCTGGTCGTCTGATTCCACAGCCCTGTATACAAGGTCATCTTAGATGTAAACTGCCAGACTAAAAAACTCCCTCTTAGATATAAATCAGGGTTGAATACCTTGCAGTGGCGATTGTGCGGCGTGCTCCTGCTGCAGACCGTGGAGGTGAGGCTGACCAGCAGCTCATCTGGGATGATGTGGTTGTCAACGGGAGGTGGTTGTGTCTTCCTTCTCTCTGCTGGGAGTTGAACATTCAGTTCACAGCAACTCAGACAAACCAGTAGGTGAATAACCTAGAGTCTGACCTTGGTGTGAGGCAGGGCCGTTTCTAGCTTTTTGGGGGCCCTATGCAAGATGCTGTTTGGGGGCCCTAGTTTTGACAGTTTTTTAACTACAATGGGGGGGATTCCGAAGCCTTTAAGATGATCTGTGGAGATGCATCAATCTGTTACACTTTAATAGGAAAACAGGCTAATTTCACGAAAACCAAGCAATTGAAAATTACAAAAAAGGATATTAAAAAGGTAAACATTAAGATTCCTTTATGTCAATAAATGCTGTCAGCCCAACGATGATTTGGACTTTATTACCCCAAAAACCCAAGCCACAGCTTTGCTATCATTGCAGTTTAGTCGTGTTTATATCCTACATTGGATTTGTAAGCATTTAATGCTTCACCGAACACACAGTGGCGACTGGTCATTAGGGGCAGTTGGGGCACAGTCCCACCTAGTGTCAGCAGAAAGTATTACAAATAATGATTACAAAAAAATGCAAAAAATAAATAAAAAAATATATAATATATATTTTAAGATCATGTTTAATCATCTGATTCGTCTCATTGCTGTTTTAGTCTGTGTTCTTCTAATTAGTGTCTACAGTGTGTGCCTATTGAGCTGTTTAGAGCTATGTGGGACAAAACCCGATCATGCCCCTCCCTCTCCCTGTCTAAGTGAACGGTGACTATAAGAAATACACTGCGCATGCTCAGAGTATTGTCCTATTTAATGTGTGTGGCAAAAAAATAATGACCATAGGGGCAGTGAGCTGCCATCCCCACCATACGTCATCTCACATCATTCAGAGCTGATTGGCTGTAAGTACGTGTACCGCGAAAAGTGTGGTGTGTGAAGAGGAGAGACGCGTCCTAAAACCCGGAAGTAAGCTGCGCATGGGTTCCCTCCACAACAAAGCAATGAGATTTCTCCATGGGATTTTAGAAAAGAGCTGGAAATAAGATCTGTGGGAAACGTAGCTGTTAGATAAATGCACGTTTTGTTCAGCCGGATAATATCCACATGTCTACCCTACTTTTATAATTTTCTAATCATAAATCTATCGATTAGATTCATGATAGACTTTTGAAACTACAAGAAGATAAGGAGGACTTTTACAAAAAAGTAATAGAGATTTTTGTCCAGAAGGATAGGCAAATGGACTTCATCTTCAAGTCAAGGTAAGACCACCATTTTTTGGAAAATGGGATCTTACTAAGAGAGAACAATTCAATATTTAAATGATAAAATTACATTTTTTGGGTATCCTTTTGTTGAACTGTCTGTTTAAAATTAATCGAAGCATCAGACAAAAAAAGCTTTTGAAAATAATATTATATTTTGATTTAGGTCAAAATATAATATTTGTAAACTTGAAGAGTTCCCAAAAAACAGTGCATTGTGTGTAATACAACTGTGATTTTTATTAAATTAGTTAGTTTTTAAGGAAGGCCAGAGCTTCAGCTGTGTCAAATAGATTGTTCCCTTTAGTTAACATTATTTAAAAGACATATTCCTATTTGATCATGTCCCCTTTATTGTAGGCTAATATTAGTCATTTAAAAAATATATAATGTTGATAATGATGGTGAAAACCACTCCCCCCACATCAGAATGACGATGGCTACTGACTGTATTTCAAATGCTTTTTGTTTCATAGTAATAATAATCTTTTTTATTATAACAACAATAAACCACAATGCAGTTCGGTAAGGTGTGACGTCACCCCATTCAAAGTGAATGGGCAGAACCGTTGAAGCTTCAACGCACACCACCGTGGGTCCTTTGGCGTGCAGCTGTGACGCGGCAATTAAAGGCAATGTGAGCGTCCATTCCCATTGGATAACGGAGGATTTTACACCCGGAAGTAAGTATTCTCCTTACTGTCGATTTATTTTACAGTGGTATCTGTAGTACTCATCAACTCAAAAACACCAGATTATCCTTGTTAATTACATAACATTGATTGGTTTAAATTGTGTACAATGCATTTGTAATTTCCCCCTTCAATTCGGAGAAAAAAATATTTTTTCGGAGTTTAGGATGGCAGAAGACACTACACTACCCAGAAACCTCAGCTATCGTTTGGGACTACAGCATGTGCTTTGCTTGACAAACCCCGTGATTAGTCCTCAAGCTCTTTGATTGGATGTTGAACCCCCCTAGAGGATTTGAGGTCCACCCCTACTTAAAATCACATGGATAGGTTCCTAACTACATTTACCATTTTTTTTTAAATAGCAGCTCATGTCCATATTTGTATTTGTGGGTAGTAGATTTAAACTATGTAAGGGTCTGCTAACAAGCGACCAACAGAAAGGTTAATGTTAATCATACTTGCCAACCTTGAGACCTCAGAAATCGGGAGCATTTCAAANTTTTGTACGTCTTGTATACATAAATATGGGTCCCCGGTGTTCCAGGGAACTCACCAAGTGTCAGAAAATACAACCCTCTCTCTTTTCCTCCATACCCAAATCTCTAAAAACAGGGCTGCAACGGATTTGATACATGTGGATTCTGATTTGCACTTTGGGTATGGAGGAAAAGAGAGAGGGTTGTATTTTCTGACACTTGGTGAGTTCCCTGGAACACCGGGGACCCATATTTATGTATACAAGACGTACAAAAGTGCATTTTGCATGATAGGTCCCCTTTAAAGTAATACTTCTGCATACAGTATGTGACAAAGTGTTGCACGGCCAGACACGGCTCGATAAGCTGACTCAGATAAGGACATATATGATATATTATGATCGATGATCTGATTAAATGTGATAAGTGCGACACGTCGGCGTCTTGTCTGCATACGGCAGTTTAAACTGTATTTACTTTATCCTGTAATATGACTTGATAGATTTAAACTCCGC